TATACCCCAAATTTGCATCATCGGCATATTTAATAACAAGCCACAGGAAGTGGTGGGGTGTTGCTGGGGTACCCAAGACCTGCAAATGGGTAACACTGACGCACAGCCCTCAGTAAGGACAGGACACTGGCCTGTCAGGCCATTGCTGCCCTGCACCAGGGACAACAGCACAGGGACTGCATTCATGTCCTCACAGGCCCAGTGGGCAGAGAGCATGGCCAGAGTCTGCTGCACAAAGCATCTGGGGTGTGTGGTCGCTTCGGTGCCCGGGACATGCAGCAGTCACCAAGGGAGCTCATTCATCCCTGGAGAGCTGACCTCCCAGACCCACACCCACGAGTACTTCAGAGAGGTGAGTGAAGCAGTTCAGAGGCAGCAGCTAGGTGCAAAGATCCCAGGTTGAAGTCTCACCACAATCCAAGTCTCTCCCAGTCTGTCATCTGCACCAAAGGTGGCAGGAGTTGCCCAGGGTAGCAGGCTGGAGGGAGTGCTGTCTCGGAGGCAGACCACACAAGGTCAGGAATCTGTAAGAGACAGCCACCCCCTGACCCCCATCTTTGCTGGGAAAGGTGCTGTACTATGCAGAAACCGAGGAATGGATTCCATAAACCTGTGGCAGCCTTTTCCAGCTTAGCATGAAACTCAGCGGGTGGAGGGAGGAAAAGGCAAGATCCTAAACCATCTGTCATCCCAGCTCTTCCCCCATGGGCGGCCCAGACTAATGGGGGTGGGGGTGGGGGCTCAAGGCTTGCTGGGAGTCCAGATGCTGGCTTCCCTCTCTGGTGCTCAGAACTGCACCCATTCCCCCACCTCACTCCCAGCTGGAGCATGGGAGATGGGATAAGAGCAGCAGCACCCATTTCCCAACTTTCTAAATTCTTTTCCTCCCCACTCAGCCTGACAGCCTTGACCAAGGTCAGTGTTCCAAAGCAAGCATCTCAGTATCTTCCCCCAAGAACACTGCGGTCCCCAGCTCACCCCACACTTGGCTCTCTAAGCACTGAGCTGAGGGGACAGCAAGGGCAGGAAGTTGGATGCAGAAAGTCTTTTCCTGCTCCCACCCCAGCTCCCCCCACCCCAGCCCTGTCCCAGGTGTGAGCAGACACGATGATGCTGGGGGCCCCGCCCTTCCCACCACCAAATCTCTCTACACCCCTAACACTGCCTGGACTTGAACCCAAAGGCCAAACCCAAAAGCCATCACCCTTTAGCTCTGGCCCCCCTGCTCTGATGCTTGGATTTTTTTTTCTTAAATGTATATTCCAGCTGACCCTCTGAGTCCATCCCAACCCTCAGGATCAGGCCAACAAAGCGGAGCCCAGCTGACTGGGAGCTGCTCCCTGGCATCTGGGAGACTGTTGCCAGCAGCAAGAAGGCATCCAATAAGTCCGCTGGGGAAGGGGGCAGTAACACAGGGGTTTTGGGTTCAAGTCCTTGAAACTGGATGACAAGTGTGTGCGCGTATATGTGTGTGGGAGAGATAGGTTCATTCTTTTGCAAAGAGAGAGGCCGTATTTTTTCATCAGCATCTCAAAGGGGAGCAGGAAGGGGGTGGTGAAGAGCAAGAGGGGCAACCCAAGTGGGGGAATGAGCCCCTAGTTTGGGGTCAGAAGTCCCAGGGTTCAGTTCCAGCTCTGCCTTTCACTTGAGCATGTGACTTAGTCTCTGAGCCTCAACTTTCCCATTTGTAAAATAAAGGGGTTCACAGTGGGTCTGGAGACTCCTCTAGCCTAGCCGGGGAAGGAGAGAAGGGCGCAGTCCAGCTAGGAGCAAGGGTTAGAAAGCAGCAGAATGTATCAGGCAAGAGGGATGGAAGAACCTGGATTCAAGAAGAGGAGGTCGTCCCTACTCCCTCATCCAGGACACAGCAAAGTAATGTCCCCTTGGCCAGCCTGGCTGCCCTTATACCAGGAGCAGTAACACACATACATCTCACTGTCCTAGACAGCCCTGTGTCCGGGGCTGGAGGGGGGATGGCGCCCCTGAGGTGAGAAATCCACAGCTCAGCAAGGCCAGCGTGGCACAGCTGCCCAGGATTAGTGCCAAATCCTGGGCTGCTCTGTGTAGGGACCACACGTCGTCAGCTTCACAGCTGCTTAGCTGCACCCTGCCCACACCCTTCCCTTGCCCCTCACCAGCCCCTCCTCACAGGCACCCAGCCTGACTCTCTTCTCAGAGGGAGACAGGGAACCTGTCTCTGCCATTGGCAAGCAGAGGACAGGCTCTGGGGCAGGGGGCAAGATGTGTCAGAGTCAATCCCTACAAACACCACCACCCACAGAAAACCCTCAGGAGCAACTAGATACAAAACTAAACAGAGGGCGAGGACAGTGAAGGCTTCTCCCTGCCCAAACCTAGTGGCTCTGCCAGAGGTGGTCTTGGCCTGGAGGTATCTTGTCCTTTGGGCCACCCGCCCTTCCCTCCAGATGGCTCCTGTCCTTGGACAGACAGAGGCAGGAGACCCAGACGGAGCCCACACAGCTGCAAATCCTCAGCCCCAGCTTCCTGGAGCAACATGCTCCTGAGGCCCCCCAGCTGCTGGGAACCTTGCCATCCACGGCCACCCCACCCTCCTCCTACACACACACACACCCCACCACCACCACCACACAAAGCTCCTTGCTCCAGGCTACATTTGTTCCCCCAACCTGAGCGAGTGGCTATGAGAGGGGGCCTCAGCACACCTCCCATTCCCCAGGGTCATCTTGGCCCCTAGCTCTGCCCTCAAACACACCCCAGTGCCTGCCTCAGAGGAAAGTAACAGTGAGGAATCTTACTCAAACTTCCTTCCAGGGAAAAGGCTTCAGGAAGGACAGGACAGGAGGAGGGAGTTGAAGCCAAACACTGTGTTATCCAAGTTTTTGTGCCAAGTCTCTCCTGGTCTCCCAGCGCAGTGGGGCTGGGCTCGGTCACTGCTGAGTTGGGCCTTAGTACCGGGGTGAGCCAGGGAGACAATGCAGGAAGCAGGGGAAGGCATGGGGCCAAGGGAAGAAGGGCTCCAGAGCACTGTGGCCCCTCCACAGACTGAGCCTCCCTCCTCTTTGATCTGCCCTGCCTTCCCTCTCCCCGGCCCTGAGTGCCGGGCCCTGAGCACCAGGCCCACAGCTAACGTCCATTCCTAGGAGGATAGAGATGGGACAAAAGGTGAAGGGCAACTGCTGCTGCACAGAGACAAGCTGGAGAGTGAGGGAGGGGGCAGCCTCTTCCCTTTGATCCCTGCACACCTGGGGTAGCTGCAGGCCCCACGTCCTGTGGATTTATAGCCAGGAACTAGAGTCGCTGTAAAGCTGATTCTCCAAAGATGGTTTTCCTAGCTGACCCCTGAGGAGCGCCCCTCAATAGAGGTTACCCCCTACCCACCCCCACCCCAGCCCCCCTCCAGGCTCCTTCCCTTCACCCCAGCAGCGAAGCTGATTCTCTCACCTGTGGGCACGCCAGCTTCTGGGGAGGGTCTTGAAGCCTCAGCTTCGTAGCAACGGTCGGGACGCTCCTGGTGGCACCAGGGGGCCCAAGGGCCTCCCCCTCGCCGTCCAGCACCGAGTCCCAGGCCACTACCCTCGAGCACAGCCAGATGCCTACAAGTCATCGTCGCCTCCGCTGGCGCCGCCGGGCTCAGCCTCGCCCGACGCGCGCCGCTCGCGGGCCAGCAGCGCCGCCAGGCTCTGGGCGCGAAGGAGCAGACCGCCACCCAGGAACAAGATCCCACAGAGCACGAGCAGCGACAGCACGCCCAGCACCGCCGCCTGCACGGCGCGGGGGCTCTCCGGGGGCTCCGGCAGCGCCCCTGACTGGTTACAGCAGGCGCTCAGCCAGACGCCCCGGGCCGCGGCGCCCGCCTGCGAGCCGTTCATGCTCCCGCGCAGGCTGCCCAAATGTGCGCTCGACTGCCAGATGTGCGGGAGCGCGGGCTGGCGGGAGGGCCAGCGACACAGACGGGGAGGGACCCGAGGGGCGGATCCCAGGCGCCTTACCCACCACTCCTTGCCCGGCAAGGTCAAGCTCTTCCCAAAGAAAGAGGGCTCCTCCAGTGTGGACTAGTCCCTTCTCAAGAGACCCTCACTCTCAGGGCTAGGGTATTCTACTCCTAAGGTCCACACACCCACTCATGCGAATGTGGCTCCTGTTCCCAGCCAGCCCTGTCTCCAAGATTCTCCCTCTGCCTTGGGGAAGGAGGCCTAAAGGCTGCACCTCCCTCAGAGCCTAAAAAGATCTTCCAGACGTCCACACCTGGCCCTGGCTCGGGGGCTACGTGGAAGGGCCATCCCCATCCCTGGGCTTTTTGTTCCTGGGACAAAAAGCTCAATACACCTAGGTGGCCCAGGTGGCTACTGGGACAGGAGGCAACGAGGCACCTCCAGAACCTGAGTGATTCACATCCTTCCTCCCCCATCATCCCCTTTGGGAGCCTCCTGGGTCCAGACAAACAGGTCAGTGCTTCCTTCAGCCTCCACAGCAGGGGGAGATGAAGGATAGAGTAGGGGGGTTTCAAAGCCTACCCTCAATCCTTTTCTCAGGCCCCATAGGCCAGGGAGAATCCTGTTTACAGGCCAGTGGGAGAGCACAGATTTGAATCAACAGGCTCCCATCCTGACCTTGAGTAAATCCGTCCCTCCCGTCCACTCTGACCACCCCCCTGCTCAGGGTACCTCAAGAAATCACAATGCCAAAAGGGATGGGGATGGTAATTTCCTATCCACCAAGGGCAGGCCACTGCCAGCTGAGTCTCACAGCCAAGCCAGGGTGGGAGATTGCAGAGTTCAGCTGCAGAAAAGGAGAAAGTTTGGGGACGCTGAGATGGAGGGAAGACCTTCTGCTCAGATCTCCTGAAAAATCCTGTAGCAAGTGTTGAGCCTTCTTTTAAAAAACAAAGTTACTGCCAGCCAACACCTGTACCAGTCACCCCCTCAGGAGGGAATGCCAGCTGGGAGTAATAAAGAAGGACCCCTAGGCTGCAGCAGGCCAAGTGATAGTCACATGTGATCAACGACTTCCTGGGAGTGGGCCTTCTCCATCTCCAAACCCCACTCCTGAGTTCTCCAACTCCCTGAAGCCCAAGAGGTCAAGGGTGTCGTTAGTTACCATCGAGGTGATTCCACGAGATCACGGATAGAACATTACAAAACCTTACAGTCATGAAGTACCATGTGGCCAAGGGTGGCTTGGAATAGTAAAACCTGCAAACACTTCCTGGGCATCCTGGCTACCTACCCTGCTCCAGGACCGTGGGGAAGACCCCCTCCAACTTCTCCCCAGGCATGCCCCCCACCAGCCACACACACATGCAATTCATACAGTCGGGTTAGAAGTGCCCCAGATGGTAGCCAAAGAGGATTGCAAAGCGTGGAATAAATCAAAAAGCATAGTGCACAATGACATTTGCTCAATTTGAGTATGCTTGTGTGGAAATGTGAGAATGAGTTACCAAAGCAATGCCCTAACAACCAGCCAGAGCCAGCCCAACCAGACAGTCTCAAGACAGCCAATCTCTCTCCAGAGAGAGAAACCCCAAATCAAATTACCTATCTGGTGCATGCAGGGCCTGTGTGTGCTCTGTGAACACAGAAAATACTCTTTGGGGCCATTACGAAGCAAGACCAGACAATATAAAACCCAGGGGCATTATAACTTCCTAGAAAGGAAGGAGACATGACTCACTCACATGTGACCCCGTGTCCTCATTCACGGGAATGGCCATGGCCACATCTGGATGGGTAACACCTGCCTGTGTGAATATCCAACCAAGTACAAAACCTGTCAGTCATAATCTATATTTAATCCCGTCATCTTGGAATAACGCCTTCAATACACACCCATGTCCTAACAGGTCTGCCAGAAAGTTAATGTTTCAGGGTAGAACACAAGCCAAAGAAGAGATGGCTCAACCCAATCTCACATTCTCAACTTTATTCACCATCCTTAGTAGGGGCTCTTCTGTACAGTGGAGAAGGAAGGGGGACCCCAACCTGGGGTGTGGAGAGACAGTGTATAGCTGGACCTGATCGTCAGCAAAGGATGACCAGAGAGGATGGCGACTCCAAACAAGGAAGCCAGGGGCTACCCTTTCCAAGTCTCACCCAAGGACCCAGAGCAGGTTTCCAGAGCCCCAAGGGCCTCAACACTATAATCCCCAGAAGCCAAGGTCTGGGAGCCATAAAGGAGCTTCCAGGCCCCAGTGAGCCCTAGAGGGCAAGAGTGTCTTTGATGAGTCTGCGCATGGTGGTGGTGACCGAGGTGCCCAGGGCATCAGTGATTTGGAAGGAGATCTTGTAGAGGTAGGGCTGCACGTCCCGCAAGCCTGTGTCAAACACATTGTCCACCTCCGACTGTGTGGGCATCTTGGGCAGGTACTCATGCCGGTTCATCACCTCCACGATATTGATGATTTTCTCGCACAGCTTCTCACCCACCTTTTCCCGGCATATCTGCCGCTCCTGCTCTGTGGCCAGGGCCACCACATGTACCTTGACCGTCCACACTTCCCATGGGATACACTCATCCGAGAAAGGCCAGCGAGACTTTTTCTTCTGGTAGAACTCCAAGGACATCTGCCCCAGCCCATCGCCACCAGAGTTGCGCAAGGCATCCTAGGGGAGAAAGGGTAATAGATGAGGAGGCCAAGACCTCTGGAGAGCTCTCATCCTGTGAAGGCCTGCTTCCTCTGCCCCAGGGAAGGAAGCATCACTATCTATATTAGGATGGCAGGGAACAGAGACCCAGAGAGAGTGGACGATTTGTGTGAAGTGACACACCAAGCTGCCAGCCTGAAATTTGAGTGGTTTAAGGAAGCCAACAAAATCTGTCTCCTTTCCCAACGCCTCCAGCTTTGTTAGGAATTGATGGTACAGAAATCACTACCGTTTTTTAGCACTTTCCCTGTGCCAGGCAATACACACTCCCCCACTGGCTCCTCTCAACAACCTGAGGTAGGTGTATTCCCTCCGTTTTATTGACGCAAAATCAGGCTCAGAGATGTAAGGTAATCTGCCAAAAGTGTGGCCCCCATCCTTGAAAATTATCTCTAAAATCACCTTCTCGCCAACACCTCCTCCCCAGGCAAACCCTATTTGCCTTCTCCACTACAAATTTAATATAGTCCTTCCACCCCAGTCATTTTATGACGGCCCAAATTCATAGTCTCAAAAAGCAGGGGGTAGGGAGGAAGGGGGAGATTACGAGGCCTAATGATCCTTGTTTAGAAAGAAACAAACCAAGGAAAAGAATGGGGAAGGAAGTTGAAGAACAGACCAGATCTGGCTGCTTCTACTTCTTCCCCTCTGAAGAGCAAATAGGACCATCTGGTCCAATAATTCTGCCTATCCCACCCCCCGGGGTGCAGGTGACCCCCACAATCCTCCTCCTACGGCACTCAGGACGGACCCTGAAGCACCTTTCCATCTGAGCTGGTGCCAACCCACAGGCACTTCCTCAAATCCTGAACCACCCATCAGGGAATAAGTCTCTCCTTCATGGACAAACCAGTCACACGACCTTGACTAATACAACAATGGCTAACTTCCATATGCTCACTGTGTGCCAGGCTCTGTTCCAAGCAACTGACACATTCACTCATTTAAACCTAAAAGTACACTCTATGAGGTAGGTACTATTAGCATTCCAATTTTACACAGGGCAACTGAGGCCCAGAGAAGTGGACATGCACTCAAGGTCACACATTTGTTAGGTGGTAGAGCCTGGCTCCAGAGTCCATGCTATGCTCTTGACTACTCTACTCTGCAGACCTTACACAGACACAGAACAGAGGGCTAGGTACTGCTACCTCCCTTGAAGGGTGACTGGAAAACCTCTCGTGAACCTGGATTTTCTGGGCTTGGAAGTCCTGGGGGTGTGAAGGGAGCTCGCTTTCTGACTGCTGTGACCTGAGAGAGGATCTACCCAACACAGGCAAACCCCTGCAATGAGCACACAGTGTAGAGGTGCTCCAAACGTTTGTGGAATTGAAGGCAGGCAGCATCCTCCTCCTCTGACCCCAAAGCTTGTGCCTTTTACAAAAAAAGATTCCCTTTGTTACTTTTTTAATTAAAAAACATCCATGCATTGAAATAGTGAGACACTGAGATTCTGCATAAAAACAAAGTTAAAAATCACAACTCATTTCCACCCTCCTGAGGTGACCAACATTAACAGCCTGGTGTGTCCCTTCCTCCCCTCTCTCTAGCTCACACAGGCATATACAAACACTTGTCACAGTCCTCAAAAGGAGCACTCCGTATCAATGGCAACTCCTCTCTCTCAAGAAGTTTTGTATGGAAAGGGCCCAGAGAGTGGTGAAAAGACAAGCAGAAAAGGTGCTGGTAGAGTGAGCTGCGGAGTCAGAGAAGAGCTTCCAAGGAGGTCTGACTGTAAATGGCTGTGAGGGCTTCCTGCTCTCCCTCCTTCCCTGGGTATTCTTACAAATCACTGCCCCCCCACTCCCACCCCCACAAGCCCTCCTCCGCTAGGCGAGCTCTCAACACACCTTTTCCTTACAACCTGAAAGGATGTCCAACAGAAAGCTGGGGTGGAGAGGCACTCAAGGTCCACCTGCCATCTGCCAGGCCACACTCCTACCTTGAATTCCCCGACAACCTTGCGCAGAGCACGGTCAAGCTCCTCAGAGGAGACACGCACATAGGTGAAGTCAATGAAGTCACAGTCGACGTCCTGGGTGCCCACGGTGCCGATGGAGTAGGTGCCCTCCTTCTTGTAGTGGAACTTGCCCGTGCTGCGGTGCAGGAGCACCGTGTGCAGCACGGCCAGCAGAGCCTCCTCCACCTGCCGCCCCTCCACTGACACCTCCAGCACCTCCGAGCGGCAGTTCATCCTGTAGCTGGTGCCTCACAGCAGGGTGGGGGACAGGGATGAACACGGGGAGCTTCACCCTACCCAGGGCCACCCTGTAAGAGGAGCCCAGGTCAGAATTCTGACATCTTTTGAATGATCTGCATGTTACCTGCTCACTTCCTTCCAGGCCCAGCCCAGCCCATCTCCACTGGCCCTTCTCTGCATTTCTGCAGCACATACTATCAGAGAATCATAGACTCTCAAAGCCAGAAACGGGGAGAGTTTCAAAGTCCAAACCGTCCAAACAGCTGGACCAGGCTTGAATTCCACTTACGGCATCTAGTTCTGTTAACAGCAAATGCTCACTGTGCAACACCTGTCAGGCCAGGCAAAGGCAAGCACAGGTCCTGCTCTTGAGAAGCTGATGGGACACAGGCAAGACAGACATGTAAACTCTACCACTGCGGTGAGACTATGAGGGGGTGAGGAGGAGAAAAGGAAGGTTGTAGTCTGATTTCCTGGGACCTTGTTAAGGCATCTGGACCCTGCTGAGTGCAGTGAAGAGTGACTGCATCACTGCGCCAAGACAAATCTGTGCATCGGAAAGTTAACTCTGGCTAAAACGCAAAGAATAGCTCTGTCACGGATTGAACTGTGTCCCCCAGAGATATTTGTCAACTTGGTTAGGCCATGATTCCCAGCATTGTGTGGCTGCCCTCCAATTTGTGACAGATATAATTTTCCTGTGTTGTAAATTCTAATCTCTGCCTGTGGTTAATGAGGCAAGATTAGATTATATTAAAGAGGATTAGGGTGGGATGTAACACCCTTGCTCAGGTTGCATCCCTGATCCAATATAAGGGGAGTTTCCCTGGAGTGTGGCCTGCACCACCTTTTATCTTACAAGAGATAAAAGAGGGAAATGAGCAGGGAGTGGGGGCACCTCACACCAGCAAGAAAGCAGCGCTGGGAGCACAGAGTATCCTTTGGACCTGGGATTCCTGCAAGGAGAACCTCCTAGACCACGGGGAGATTGATGAGAAGGACCTTCTTCCAGAGCAGACAGAGAGAAAATCTTCCCCTGGAGCTGACGACCTGAATTTGTACTTCTAGCCTACTAGACTGTGAGAGAATAAACTTCTGTTTGTTAAAGCCATCCACTTGTGGTATTTCTGTTATAGCAGCACTAGATAACCAAGACAAGCTCTTAACTACTTTGCAGTCACAAACTGCTTTGGGAAGCATAAAAGCTATGACACTTGGGCTTTAAAGCCTGACCAACATATGCACATACACACAAATCTCACATACAATTTCTGAGGTCATCCAGACTCCAGGGCAAAATCTTGCAGATTTAAGGGCAGAAAGACTGGGTAGGTGACCTGTTAGAGGCCATTACAATAGTGCTAGTTACAGAGGCAGCACAAAAGTGTGTGGAGGAGTGAAGTGCAGAGTATGATGGTTTTCATATCCAAGAGTCCTAGGTTTGAATCCCAGCTCTCCTACATCTTATTCTGTGACCTTAAGCAAATCACTCACCCTCTCTGAGCCTCAATTCCCTTATCTGTTAATTAGGATTGTTGTGAGGATTAATAAGATAACTTATGTAAAACACAGTAGAATAGTGGTAAAGAACAAGGCCTCTAAAGCCAGAGAGCCTGAGTTGGAACCACAGCTCTGCTCTGTGACCTTGGGCAAGCTGCTTAACTTCAATTTGCCAAATCTAAAAAAGGGGACATTAATATAGCTACCTTGAAAGGGTTGTCTCAAGGACTGCGTTAATATCTATAAAACACTTAAAACAGTACCTGATAAGTAGTAAGCACTCAACAAGTATAATTAATTATGATATTCTTACTGCTGAGAGATGATCCAACGCTACATTACGGCAGTGGTGGAGGGAGTGGGAAGGAGAGAATAGACTTGAGAAGCAGCACTTAGTAACTGAATATGAGCCTGGAGGGTGATGGAGCAGTCAAGTTTCTTAGCTCAGATTTTTCAGCTTGAAAACCTCCATTCACAGTGAATTCACAGCAAACCATTTCATCTTTAGGTAGTTCTATTAAGCTATTCCTTCTACTGAAAGAATCTGTCCCTTATTGCTTCAAACTACTGGTCTTAGTTTTGATATCCAGAGTCACACAGATTAAGTCTCACCCTTTTCCCACAAATAAACCTTTCAGGCATTTAGAGGCAGTCTTCCATCACCTCCTGGCCCATTCTACAGTTAAAGGTCCTCAGCCATCAAACATGCCCACCTGACATCACATCATATCTCCTTAGGGTCCTGGTAGCTCTCCTCTAAGTAGATTCCAGATGATCTCTGTCCCTCTTCAACAGTGGCGCTCAGCACTAAACATAGGACAACAGTTTGTGGACTACTCAGAGATCAGGCTGGCTCTGCCTCTCCCCTGGCAATCAGCCCTTGTCTACCTGTATTATCGTTTACCATTTCACAGGTGTTATTCTTGTCTCTCCCACTATGCAGACAATTCCTTGAGGGCAAGGACTGTATGCTATTCACCACTGTACACTCACTACCTAGTACAAAATAACTGCTCGATTCATCCCGTTATCCTGGAATTCCAGGTCCTTCCTGAGGTTTTTCGATCAGCTTCTCCCACACTCTTGGATCAAGGATAAGGGGGGCTCTCTTGCTCACTTCTGCACTCTGGTTTAACTCCATCCAGCAGTTTCCCATCCAGAGACTCCCAGCTCTGTTTCAGTTTTCCTTCCACAACTTCTCCCTCTTGTGTCCCACATGAACCTTCATACACGATACAGCTCTTCACTTTTGCCCCAAGCCCAGGCCCTTCGCTCAGTCTCAGTGCTATTCTAGGCTTCACTCCTCCAGGAAGTCTGTCCTGATCAGTTCCAGCCTCCATCCGACAACAGCCACCTTTTGTCTGTGATGAGCATGTCTGTCCCCACCAAGACCAGGCGCATTCCCCCAGGGACGGGCCGGGGAAGTCTCGTCCCTCTAGCCCCTCAAGGCCCAGGTCTGCAAGACACAGCGGCAGAGGCTAACAGAGGCCTTCTCAGAGCCAAGCTAGAGTCCAGGACACCCACACCCACACGGCCAACTTACGTGTATAAGCGGGAGGGCGGGCCACTCAGGCTCGGAGCATGCCCCTTCTCCTCCTTCTCACGCCTAGGTACGACCTGCAGGTACGCCGAAGCCTCTGCGTGGGCGATGAGCCGCAAGAGACGAACTAAAAGCAAAATCAGAAAGCTATTCGACTCGCATCAAGAGACTCAGGCGGGACGCAAAAACAACTTCCCTCCTGGGTCCCGCTTCTCCCATCGCCACTACTGGTGAACCTCCACAGTCGAGACAAAGGAGGCGCTGGCTCCGTCTACGTCTCGGGGGCGGCACACAGCCCTAGCCTGGCCAAATGCGGGAGTTCGAGGTGCGCCCTCACTCCCGCCGCCCTGGAGAGCTCCCAGGCCGGTTAGAACGGACCCCTACCCCCTCAGACACCCATACCTCGGCCCCCTAGCCACTCAGCAGCACTCACCGCAGATGTCAGACAAACAAGGTAAGAGAGAGAACCGGGACCGGAACACCGTTCCACCGCCCCTACCAGCCGGGAGAGTTCTACCTGCTTCACTGACCTCCAGAGGGGGTGGCCTGCATAGCTCGTCCACGTTCTAACATGAACGCAGCGTCCAGATCGTCTTTGTATTCACATAATCAGACAAATATAATCACATGTTGGTCTATAATTTGTATGATATTTTTTCCTGATTACATGTCGGCTTTTAAGATTTGATGGTCAGAAGTATCCCCCTCCTTTGGACGAGTCCACTCACTCTCACCACTGACATTGTTGTTGTGTGTCGGCGGGCACAACCCACTTCCGCCATAGAGACGGACGGTGGGGAGGGAGAGAGGGGCCGGATGTGCTCTGCACTGCCTCCCTACGCTGGGAAGAGTCATCGGCGGCGAGCCCGCCGCTGGAGTGGAGACGTGATCCCCAACTCCGGGCTGAGAAACCTGGGAGCAAGTACGGATCCCCGCAAGATGAGCAGCATGCCAGTTAGAGATGAGCCCTTGCCAGTGTGCTGTGTGACGCTGAGTGGGTGGCAAAACTTTAGTTTGTCCAACATGCATAATAGACAACCCTGACCCTCGACCCACACATATAAAGATGCTGGAGAGACGGGGAACACAACAGAGAGTCCCTGACAGAGCAGGACAAAAGTGTAGTGCAGAACTCAAATCCACGTAAAAAGACCACACTTAATGGTCTGACTGAGACTGGAAGAACCCTCGAAGCCATAGCCCCTGGATGTTCTGTTAACCCAGAACTAAAAGCATTCCCAAAGCCCACTCTTGAGACAAAGATTAGACTGGACGATAAAACATAAAATAATACTCATAAAGAGTGTGCTTCTTACTTCAAGCAGATACAAGAGACCAAATGGGCGGCTCCTGTCTGGACGCAGGAAGTGACAGGAGCTGGATGGATGGACACGGGGAAACCCAGGGTGGAAAGGGGGAGTGTGCTGTCACATTATAGGGATTGCAACTAGTATCGCTTAACAATACGTGTATAAATTTTTGTATGAGAAATTAACTTGAGCTGTAAACTTTCACCTAAAACACAATTAAAAAAAAAAAAAGATGCTGGAGAAAGGGTCTTAATCTTACTGTGTTATCTTCCTACAGTAACACTACTTGGTACTCTACCACGACTGATCTGGTGACAGTTTTTTGTTTTTTTTTTTTTTTTTGGTGACAGTTCTTATAAGGCTAATTGTAATTCTGCCTTGCCTCTCTATGTGACCCTTGATATTACTCATCGTTTCTGATTTCCTTCTCTATAAATGGGGATCACAAAAGATAACTCACATGAAAAACCTTTGTAAACTGAAAACTGTTGTATGAATGTGAGTGGAATTTTAGTGCTACGTAACTTGTTGGGAGTGTGTCTGGTTTTCCATGTAGATTGTAAGCCCAGGGTAAACAGAGCTCCGTTAATGCCCACAGACCCTGGCATGCTCCCCACCTACAACAGGAGGCCTTCCTGAATTTACTTGAGGATTAAGTTCTTCATATCCTAACACACATTTTCTCCCAAAATAATAGTAGATATTATTTACAAATAATAACATTTGTTGAATGTTTTGCATATATTAGTTTATTTAAACTTTATCAATCAATCCTACAAGGTAGATGAAGAAATTTACACTGAAGAGGTTAAGTGACTTGCCCACGATCACTCAGTAAGTGGCAAAGCCTGGAATTCAAATCCAGGGGTCTTCAACACTACAGAAGCTCCCTTTCTGGCTTCTTCACCCTGACCTTCCCCATGCACCACCACTCTCCAATATACCCCACCCACCAGTAGTGTGCTGATAAATGTTTAACACCTGCTCTCTGGGGAGGAATACCTTCATTTGCAGCATTTGCCAATTTCCCGCCATGGCCAATTTCAATCTACAGAACATCACTAAATGAGGAGTCCAGAATGAATAATTACATCTTGATCACAGGGGTACAATTGGCTGTCAGGTGCCAGGACCAGCTGGCTCCAACACACCACTGTCACTCCCCCACCCTTTAGGCTCCACGCCCTGTTATGGGCTGAACTGTGTCCCCAAAAAAAGATATATTAAACTCCTAACCCCTGGTACCTGTGAGCATGACCTTGCTTGGAAATAGGGTCTTTGAAAATCCTATCAGTTAACATGAGGTCATACTGGAATAGCATGGGTCCTAATCCAATCTGAGTATAAAAGAGAGACATAGAGACATACCGGCAGTCCCTAGATTACCGAAGAGTTCTGTTCCTAAATCTGTTGTTAAGTTGAATTTGTACCTAAGTCAGAACAGCTAGGTATGGTTTGTATCTAACATCAGTTAGTCAAATTTTTGTCTTAGGATATAGTATATAGTGTACTTTTCTATGCATAAAAACATTGAAGAAACACTTCCATATACACTAACACATCTTTAACATAGTATAGTAATATTGATAATAATGTTTTGTTGTGCATTGCAAAGTAGCTCCCGTTTGTTATTACACACCATTGTATGTACCTTCTCCACAGTTGAAGAGGTACCTACAGGGCAAAGTTATCCAAAATACTCGGAAGATTCTGTTCTGTAAAATCTTTGAGACTAATTGGATACTTTATCACAGACCCTGAACTAAAAAATTTACACTGTACCACTGGCCAGCATTTTTTCTGGGTTTTGAACCCTCCTCAGCAGAGGCAGGGAGGGTTGGGGCATGAGTAGGATGGTGCTCAGGCCAGAAGGATCATTCTGCCATCACCTCCTCCCCAGACCTCTTAACCCCACGCACCAACTATGAAGCCCCTGCCTCTGCATGCAAGGGAGAAAAGTGCCACTCAGGATGTGCTAAAAGCAGCCGGGGGCCCAAGGGTTGGAAAGAGGAGCTTAGGGAAACCCCAGTCCGAAGTTCTCCACCATCCTTGAAAACCATATGGACATTCAGAGGTCAGAAATCTAAGACTGCCCCCCGCCCCCCTCCAGCCACCAAAAGACCGAGAACCACTGCAGTGGTGAAATCCCACGTGTTAAGCAGAAGCCGAGAGGTGCTGCGACGGCCCGGACCTGCGCAGCAAGGAGGGTCTGGGAGGATGGGGTGGGGCGTAGCTGGGTAAGGGGTCGCCGTGGAGGTCTGGTCGTGTGCCAGCCCGACGCACTGACCGGTTGTACTCGGAGAACACGTAGAGTATTGTGCCCGCCTCCCGGCCGCTGGCTGCCACCACCTGCAGGCCCGACAGGCGGAGCGGAGCCGCGGTGCTTGGGACACAGGGACGATGGGGTCTGCCCTTTCCCCGCTCCGAGGGAGGTAGGTGAGTGTGGGCTCTCAGGTTGCTGCTCCCGCCATGTCGCAGGGGCCCGCCTGCCTCCAGCTGCCGCCCAAAGGCCCGCTGCGCCACCTACGCAGGCTAGAGAAGTGCGGCCCCTCGGGGGCCGAATACCGAGTCAGTTTTTTCCTGAAAGCCTTTACCCATGTTAGTTGGCAACTGCGGGTTGTACTTAAGTCCGACGTTCGTAACCCCCTGGCGACTGCCTTACAGAGGAAGGATTGCCATGTAAAGATGCACTTTCTAGCCAAGGAACGCTTCGGGCTACCTCGAGCTAGGAGAGACAAGAATGAATTTTTTTTTTCCCCATACAAAATTTATACATACATTGTTATGTGACTCTAATTGCTCTCCCCATACTGTGACAGCACACTCCTCCTTTCCACCCCTGATTCCCCATGTCCATTCAACCAGCTCCTAACCCTCTCTGCCTTCCCATCTCACCTCCAGACAGAAGCTGCCCATTTAGTCTCTTGTTATCTACTTGAGCTAAAAGGCACATGCCTCACGAGTATCACTTTATGTCCCACAGTCCAGTCCAATCCCTGTCTGAAGAGTTGGCCTTGGAAATTGTTTTAGTTCTGGGCTGATAGAGAATCCAGGGGCCATGCTTTCCGGGGTTCCTCCAGTCTCAGATCATTAAGTCTGGTCTTCTTACTAGAATTTGAGTTCTGCACCCCACCTTCTGCTCCATCAGGGACTCTCTGTTGTGTTCCCTGTGAGGGCAGTCATTGGTGGTAGCCGGGCACCATGTAGTTCTTCTGGTCTCAGGCTGATGAAGTCTCTGGTTTATGTGGTCCTTTCTGTCTCTTGGGCTAATACTTTCCTTGTGTCTTTGGTGTTCTTCATTTTCCTTTACTCCAGGTGGTTGGAACCAATTGATGCATCTTAGATAGCCACTTGCAAGCTTTTAAGACCCCAGATGCCTCTCAGCAAAGTAGGGTGCAGAACATTTTCTTAATAAGCTTTATTATGCCAATTGACCTAGATGTCCCCTGAAAGCATGGTCCCCAGATCCCTACCTCTGCTACTCTGTCCCTCAAAGTGTTTGATTGTAAAGAATGAATCTTTCTCTAGAGACTTCAGAGCGAGCGTTGTCCTGCCAACACTCTGAATTTGTACTCCTAGCCTCCAGAATTGTGAGACAAATTCCTGTTTTTATAAGCCACCCAGTTCATGATATTTTGTTATGGCAGACTTAGAACACTAATACCCGCCCCCCAACCCACCCCCAACCCTCCCCACCCCCGTCTTTCTAAGCCCAGATGCACAACCCCCTCCTGTGGCTGACCTTCTCCCCCTACCTGCTCCCTATCAGTTTTACTTTACCACCATAGTCTGTCCTGTGCAGCCAGTCTCTGTCTCAGGTAGAGCACCTCTCCCCAGGCAGCCCGGGGAAGGAGAAGGCTGCCTGCGCCACAGACCAGCAACCTCACTGGGGTCCTGGATTGAGCCAGGAGATATATCAGGAGGAAATATTGAGAGGGGAGAATCTGTGAGGAGCTGAAGGAGGGAGACCCAGGGAGGTGAGAACCATTCCTGGGGTGGAGGGGAACCAGGGCCTAATCCCCAGAGACTGCCAGTGAATGAGGAGAGAGAGTGACCTCTCTCTACCCCCTGGACACCCACCCTCTCAGGGCCTTCCACACCACTATCCTACAACATCATCATCACTTCTCCCAATCAGCAAGCCTGACTAGGCACCATGCTAGCACTTCACATGCACTATTGTGTTGATTTGTCC